GTTGCCGTTGTTGTTGCTGCTGTTATTGTTGTGTTCTCAATCCCAATATAAAGAGGTGCCTGGTTAGGGTGATTGTGGTTTAGAGAAGGCTGGGGGAGGAATAGAGGGTTTAAGAAGGTTCCGATATTGTAACGGCGCCTGTGAAAGGCACCTTTCAAAACCCTAAACCCTAAACCCTAAACCCTGAGTTTTACGTATTGAGTGATGCACGTGCTCGTGGAGGCCCCACATTAGCTGGCCCCATCTTCTGAGGGGTGGAGACGTGCTCTGTTCTTTAAACGCATTTAATAAAATAATTAGAGTTTTTTAATATAGGGGTTGCACTGACGTCGGGTGTATGCACACCCGAAGTCTGCTCTGTCAGGAGATGGGGCGGTGGGGGAGATTTGCATAATGGAAGCTTTCAGTACTTGCTACGAAATGACTGTTTTTTAATTCATTTAATTAATTAAATTAATTTATTTTATTTTAGTTTATTATTTGGAGTTGTTTTCCCCAAAAGAAAGACGCAAAGACAGCCCCTGTGTGCTGCGGTGGGGGCCGGTATGGCCAGTGGTGTGTTGCTGTACCTCTATCGTTGTGTGTAGGGTGTAATCTTGCGTAAAAGTGCATTCTTTTTGTTTTATTTGGATAATAATTGCATATTTTATTTGTCAAAAGAACTTTATTTCAGCCTGAGAGCGAGAGAAAATCGTAGAAAAAAGAAATACCACAGAGGCGTCCGCAGGTCACCTGCAGCTGCGTGAGGGGCGTTAGCCCCTGTGTTGTTGTTTTTTCTTTTTTTTCTGTTTTCTCTGAAAATGCAAAACGATAAATATATGAATGAAGACCTCAGGAGGGAGAGGCAGTCGCTGCCTTGCGATATGGAGGCCCTCTCTATTGGTATATATGGAAAGGAGATGTATCATAAACTCGTAAAGCTGCAGAAAATATTTGCTAAGAACGAAAACCTCGACCTCAGACACACCTGGGCATGCGACTTCAAAACAAGGTACTCTTGAAAACAAAAGTTAGAACATTTTAGGCAGTTGCTGCTGCTGCTGCTGCTGCTGCTCATGCTGCTGCTGCTGCTCATGCTACTGCTGCTGCTGCTGCTGCTGCTGCTGTATCAGCCAAGAGGGTGATATTTCTGAACAGATAGATGCATCTTAATCTCCTTCTCTGCGTGCCTGTTTAATGAAGGTTGGAAGTTTGTATGCATGCACGCATCCATAAAGGCATGCATGCATACTTGTGGGTGCGAGAGTAAATAAACTCCATACGAAGCCTCCGGGAGTCAATATTTCCTTGTGGAGCTTGCTTAGTCTTAGCTGGGGTGTACATACACCTGAACTGCATGGGATGTAGCGGAGATGAATATTTAATGGATATCTCCCTGATGTAACCTCCGCTGTTCTTGGTGTTTATTTATTTGTTTATTTGTTTATTTGTTTATTTATTACTATTGACGCAGCAGGAGGATGCAGTATGGCATAGAAGTGTTTAGTTCGTGTGTGGGGTGTGAAAATATGGGGTGTATAGGGAGTTGTGGGGTGTACGTCTACCTCAGGTACATCCTTGCATG